AAGCTTTAAAGAAAAAATATACTTTTGGGGGGATAGGCGTAGTAGAGCGATAAATCTTTACCTATTCGTAGGTAAAAGAAAAAAAAATAATAATTTTTTTTCCTAAGAGAATTAATAAAAGACATCCAAGGAGAATTGTGAAAAGAATGTTATCACGAGTTTTTTACAAGTTGGAATATTTCAAAGTCCTCCCACTCCGCATTCTCATGATCGAATATGGAATGCTCATAGGAAACAGGACAAAGTTGAATTTTCTTCGGGGCCCGCGCCAAAGCATGGGCCGGAATGATGTTTCATCACTGCTTCCTTTGCATGCTGAGGCAATACCCTACTTATCACAGCGGTTTCCTCCGGATAATAACGGGCCTGGAAAGAAAATAGGAAGGCATTCATTTTTTTCAGAATTTCCTTCTTTTTTTCCTTGGAACTCCTCTTCATCCAGCTCACGAGCTTTCGTGTTTCACGATAACCCATTGGGTTATAGCCTCCGATAATTTGATCGGAACCAAAAATTTTTATAATCAATATTGTTGGGCCTTGATTGCTACATCTTCGACGAAACGTTTTAGGCGATATGCTGTCGCGACTTCCACGGTAAAGAAGGTTGAACCTATACGATAAATTTTTGTCCAATGGTTCGTCTTCTTTCATCCAGCTTTCTAAAAGTGTTGCATGTCGACCTGTGATAATAGACGAGTCCACCAAGGTTGAAGCTATTCTCGGCGGGGCCAACAATGGAGTCAACTGATGGTGTCCTGTGATTTGTTGCCGAAGAAAATTGCCAATAATGAATGGTGGTATAATCGGTCTGTAAGGAAGGACGCATTTTGCGAAGTCCCGAGGTTCGATTTGGTGGAAACGGATCCAATATATACAATTTCTCAAGGTTCTTGCAATCATTTCGAAATCTTTAGGCGACCACTTCGATACGTCCTGGTCAAACTGAACTTCAGGAGTGTTTCTAATGCCCCAAGCTATAAGGCTGTTCCATATCTCCACCTCAGGTACCTCAAGGTCATCCTTTTGGAGGAATGTTATCACACGAAGCTCGGATAATTTAAAAAATTCTTCGGAATTTAAAATCGATGGGTCAAATGATTCGGAAGTATGACTCAATGTGGTAACAGAGGTATTTGGGGTGGAATCGAAACATTCGTCTCCGGGGCGGGAATAGGGACTGAAAGAATGTTGACCTTCGCCGCATATCACATCCATCGCTTCTCTGTATGAGTATTTAATGTTACTTTGTCCTATAGCAGTCTTAATATTCGTCGATTGGCCGACAAATTGATTTCTTGAAGCAGAGCTGACTCTTGTCTTCCACCTCAATGGCATATCGCTTTGCCGATAGCTGAAGTAAGATGAAGCTGACGATGCCATGCTGGGTAAAGAAGACGTCCAATAATGCTCGCTGGTTTTAGAGGAATCATAATTCAGGTTATAAATAGAATCCCAAAATTTGTCCTTGACATCTTCGGGTGTGAATGGAGGTGGAGAATAATCACGAATAAATTCATTGCGTCTTGTCTGTGCTGAATCGGCATTTTCTAATTTGGATTCCGGAGGAGACGCGGAAGATGAAGGTATTATTGAAGTGTCTCTTGATGTGATGGTAGGCCGAGCAATTTTTTCAGATAGTGATGGTGATGACAGTTTCCGAGTGTCTTCGTCGGACTCGTATAATTCACCGTTTTCGTTTTCTAGGGGGATTTTCGCCGTAAAGGTCACGGAACCTGAAGACATTATCACAAAAATATTTGGTGGGTCGAAAGGAATTTTTAAAAATTGTTACTCGATGGGTTTACGGGTTTTTATTCGTTTTGCGATTACCAAAATTGGAAATGTAGTTTGGTAAGCGAACATTTACATCAACCGATCGTCACCTTTAAAGTTGGATGGTGCCAAACACGATGGCCATTTTGGGCTTTTGCCTACGATCTTTTTTTTTAATTTAGGCATAGGTAAAAGATAAATATAAAGAAATCTAACCAAAATAAACGTGCTGCCAGGTAATTTTACCCTCATTAAACTCGACAGCAGAAACATTCCGTAGTTATGACCTTTCCGCACATGGTCGCAGGAATCGTTATTGCTAAGGCGTGAGCTGGGATTGGCTTGGCGCAAATTTAAAATATCTAACAGACGAAGATTACGTTATGTGCCACCATTTCATGCGACCATTAGAAAATCATGTCATCACATTGCAGTGGATCCACATGCTTTTGGGAATTACTATTTACCGTCACCCGTGTTCATTGAAAAAAAAAAGAAAGTAAAGAAAAAAAAAATTAAAAATTAAAAATTAAAAATACTGTAAGAGCTCAGAATACATTTTCTTGCGTGGGGTACAGGATCAAACATGGATTTAGGAAGGGAAGGAAGACGTGTCGACATATTCATGTGAATGTCTATCTAGTAAAAAAGAAAGTCAAGTATTAGAATAATTTTTTTCCACCAAAAAAAGAACTTGTACAAGCTGCTATACTGTATATCACCATTGTGCGTACGTGACGAATCGATAAATTTTTTTCTGTATTTGCATACACACCGCGCATTCAAACTTTCCATTTAGTTGTTCTATTCTTTATTCCTTTTCGGGAAAAAGATAATCTCCTGCCACACGATCCAAAAAACTTTATTGAGGCATTCTTGTCAATCTGTCATTCAATCGAATCTATTATTATGAACACGATGGTCAAGACGTTTTAACGGGCGAGCAATTCAGTGCAATAACACCAGAGTGCCATCTTTAAAACCCCCCGCATCGTGTTGCCATAATTACTGAAAATTTAGTCTGACAATGCATTGAATTATATTTGTTTATATTAAATTCATGTCCACATCTCTACATCTCGCTACAACGGTAAAGCCGATGCATGTAATATGCTGCTTTGTGACATTCGTTAAACAGGCTCAATCGCTTGACTCGAAAATCCGCATACAACATATGCTAGTTACAATCAATCCTGATTTGACCGGACATTCCATGTCGATCTGCAGAATTTGCCGATTTATCCAATTAACCGCATTTACACAATGTAAAGCCTGCACACTTAACGATCGAATTTTCGTCCTGCAATGATAAAGGAGATACGATGGTAATTTATTTCACATTCTAAATTTAGATCCCTTCCTTGTGGCTTTAACAATGGTTGCTGCTACACCGGTTTATAATAATTCCCATTTTCGCGCCTCGCGTTTTTTCATTCTAAACTATTTTAGGCACAATAATGCTAACCCATTCGAGCGCCCTATTGTTCCCACTGAGACTCTTAATAACTTTAATCGGCTTTTTCTAATATATGCATCATCGATTATTATCGATTATTGAGATAAGTAAGTTTTTAATCTATCGTTTTTAAATATGGCAAATAGCTACAAATCGATTAATCTATACACGTAACCTTAAATTTTTAATTCTATCATTTAATATATATACAGTATATTGCTTGCTGTCAATCATTTTATCACATCTAATCTACACACGTAATTTACGCCATTAGGTAAATTGGCAATTAATATATATCTATTTATCATAATTATAAAGTACAAAAATAATTTGTAATATTATGTGTATTGTATAAATGTACTGTATATATGATTTTTTCAAAAGTTTGAGTTTACTTATTATATTTTTATTATAAATTTCAACTTTGTCTATTTTTAATTCTTTAATTGTGTAATTAAAAATCATAAAATTTACATATTTCATATCTTAATACTTATTTAACTTTGTCAATTTTTAATTCTTTAATTGTATAATTAAAAATTATTAAATTTACACATTTCATATCTTAATACCTATTCAACTTTGTCAATTTTTAATTCTTTAATTGTGTAATTAAAAATCATAAAATTTACATATATTATATCTTAATACTTATTTTATTTCTTATATTTTTTTAAAAACATTTTCATAAATAATTTCAAAAATTTTATTATTATTAGATATTTTTATTTTTTTTTTATTAATTATTATATAATTTATGATAACAATCAATCAAAATCATTCAAAAATAAAACTTTGATAAAAAAATAAATTTTTTAATGATAATAAAACTTTAAAATTATGTATAAAAATTTTTTTAAAAAAAATATAAGAAATAAAATGGTATTATTAGAATATAATTTAAAAATTGATAAAGTCAAAATTTATAATAAAAACATAATAAGTGAACTCAAACTTTTAGAAACAACTGTATATACATATAATTTAAAAAATTAATAAATGCAATAAAAATATAAAACCCAACAATATTAAAAATCACATAATTGTTAAAAACTTATAGATATTGTAAATATTATATAATAATAATAAATTTATAAATCATATGTATTTTAAATATTCAAAAATTATTTATTTTAATATCAATTTATGGTTTATTATTAAAAATTAAATCTCAAAAGATTTTCTTATATAAATAATTACATTCTATAGTTTTTTTTTATCATAAAAAATTTAATTGATTAAAAATCACTAATGCTTAAACAAGAGTTGTTTATTTAAATATATAAAATGAAGTTATCAATAAAATTTTTTAGAAAATTTATAAAGTCTTTATAAATTTCATAAATTCATCCAACCATTTTTCACAAGAACCATATAACACTGTGGTATATCTTCTATTGTTAGGATTGCAAACCATTACACTCTTAAATTTAAACGTGTCTCTCGGATTCTTTGTCGAAGGATACAGCGTTTTCTGAAAAAGTTCTCCACTCGTTATGCCAAATGAGTAGACACCAAGTTCTATGATACACAGTATATAAAACTTTCAGAGCTATCTACGATAAAATTCCAATGAACTCTACAGCACTTTGTTCACTTTGTTAGAAAGATCTAAATTCAAGGTGTATCCGCTATTAAGATTTTGCGAATGAATTATTTGAATACAAAGTAGTGCATATTCCATTGTGAAATGCGATACTCAACGATCACTTCCTTTGATGCATTTTGTGAATACACGATTTCATAACGAATATCACACTTATTGTATTATATAAAAAAATAAATAATAATATTAATAATTAGATGGAGAAGGAAAGTGCGTGAATAATTACTTTTACAAATTCCTGATCCGTGGATAAATAAATCGGTAGTACTAGCAACAAATATAGTCGAAAATCTCCTCCTATCTTTCAAATTCTTCATTAGATATCCCAGACAATGAAATTTCTTTTTATCAATTATTTCCTTTAATTCTTCGATATAGTAATTTTCTTTATTCTGACTATTTTTAGTTGCAAATAGTAGATCATAATAATTATAAGTAATAAATATGGTCCCGTAATAAATTTCCCTGTCTATACACATGAGTAGTCATTTGTGGATTTCTTTTTGCTGTACTTTCATCTCAGCTGATTTTGATAATTTCCGAACATCTTTATGTTCATCCTTTTTAACTCCAATTCGAATAACCAACATTATGCATCCCCATTCACGTCACTCATCCTGGTTGACTTTTGATAATACCCTAATGCTTTATTATCTTTCTTATTAACCTCAATTACTTAATCATGACATCAGCCAATATTATTTGTTCCTGCCACATGTCCCATACCAGCTGATTTAGAATGTCTTGTGTTCATCCTTCAACACCAATTCCTTTCTTATAATCATACCAACATCATTCGTCCCACTTATTTTCCCATCTCTGATGATTTTTGATTTTTGATAAGATTAAACAACAATATGATCATTCTTTTTAAACGATAGCAATAAACAACTTGACCCAATCCGCTAGTATCGCCGTCTCAGTCAATTTTTGTGTTCTAAATACCTACAAAAGAGATGACAACTTGCAAGGATGTTTTGTGCTGTAGTTTTTAATTCATTGTCTACATGTCCTCCGGTTTTTGTTGCTTTTTTGTGAAATATTGAAAAATCAAGCCATTCGGTACCTTATCATATCGATAATTCTTCGATATACAGGTTACATAATTATTTTTCGACTTATCATCATTTCATGAAAATATTTGCAAAGTGTTGTCGACTTGCTTCTTTTTTTTTTTTTCTGAAACATCATGTCATTGTTTCCCTACGTAAAAAATAACTTTATTTATTTTCAATTTCAAACTGTGCTACAGCATTGTTGTCGTGCATGTGTATGCACAGTCACAAAGAAAATAGCACTCAATTTGTATGCCTTTAGGGTAAAAAATTGCACGTCAAATGAGGCCCGCATTCAAAAACACTAGAATCTCTTGCATAATGACTAGTTTCTATCTGTTACTTAATAATTTGATACATTAACGATCGAAGATTATTTAGAAAGTTTTTTTTATAAATGATTTTATTGAACAATATAATAAAATTTTAAATATTATTCTCTGTTTTCTATTTATAATTCTAAATTTTCAAAAATTATTATTGTTTGATTTCTCTAATTACCCTTTTAAATATTCATTTTTTCTCTACCAATAAAATTATAGAATTAGCATTATTATTATACCTTATACATAAAATAAATAAAATTAAGAATATAATATATTTAAGAACCTTGTTTCTAAAAATTTATATCAAAATTATTTTAAAATATATAATCAAAGTTGGCATATTTATTAAAAAATTTATTTATTTTAGTTGGATTTTAAATTTTTTGTTAATATGTATTATTATTTATTAAAATTTTATTAATTAAATAATATATTGTATTATTAAAAAATAAACAATAAAATCCTGTATTATATATCAATTTTTATTAATAAATTTATTATTTTAATAAAAAATATATTAATTATAA